TCGAAACGGCACAAGCTCTATTGCCATCTTCTCTTCCCAGAGAGCCCGATGCAGGTCTCCACGGATGACTCAGAGCTAAGAGCTTGCGCCCCAGGTTCCGCCAGGAGAGCCGGAACGAGAGAGAGCGGGGAGAACAGCGGAGGTGGCCTTCAGTTCTGGGCAGGTGTGATCATGTCTCAGGCTGGAAACGACGCTTGAAACGACTCTGGGGACCCCCGCTAAGGTTTTGCATTTAAGACACAGTGCACCCCAAGATCTTGCTGAGCCCATGCTTGAAAGTCAAGGCTCGAGCATGTGAAGCCGAGGCCCACGCTGTGCGGAAGCTGAACTCTGTGGGCTCCTGCGGCAAGCTGAACAAGAGTGCGGGCTTCAGCTGGGTACTAGTCGGATAGTCGCAGTGCACAGCCTAGGGTCTGCGGGGATTGGGTGTGCATGGGGCTCTCCTGTTGGTCCTGTTTTAGTGTCGGACGGATGTCCGGATGTGTGGCAGCGCTCCTCGCACCCAAGCCGCTCGTAACATTTGTTCCAGCAGGCTTCTGCAACCGTATGCGTGACGCTTCTGATAACTTCCATAGACCTGAGAATCACATGTTCGTCGCTACCAGGTCAGACGACAGAGTCCGGTATGGAAGACGAGACGGTGCCCCAAGCTGGTGTTGAGAGGAGTCCGAAACAGTGTCACGGAAAGGCAGGTATTGGACGAACACAATCAGCATCATGGTCGTTCTCCCACCGATCTCTGAAGTGCAGTTCGAAAGTGTAGAGCCGCGTGTTGCCGCGTGGGTGTGCATTGAGTCCCCATGGAGCAGTGAGTTGTATCCCGCCAGGGCGAGGCTGGCCTTCACGTGCACGACACAGGCCAGGGAAGGAGAAAGCAGGGCTTCTGAGAGCAAGAGCGATCTGTCGTTCTGGCTCCATGCACGGCTCTCCTGGCGGTCGTTCATTGGCATCGCTTTGGCATGTTTCGACCTTTTCTCGTCTCCAGACCCCTGGTCACTCCGGGCCTCAAAGCTACAAAGCTTCGGAAGTCATCGACGAAACCAGGACACAAGAGCCCCCACAAGGCCAAATGCCTCCATCACACCTCTGCCCAGTCGGAAGCCTGAGGCGAGCTCTTTTTGCCTGGCCTGGCGGTGATGAAGCCACGCATCTCCGTCACCGATCTCTCCCAGGAGCCCAGAGGAAGTTTGGCAGAGCCTCTGTACTGTGATCTGTCATGTCTTGAAACTTGGCTTGGGCTGCCTGGCCGATCTGCATGTTGCTCAGCACTCACACATCTGTGGCCATGGCATGAGGTGCAATGTGATAGTTTTTGTTGCGTGTGTGGAGCTGACAACATCGAAAGCAGAAAGCTTGAACCCCCCACGGAATCGCAACCTAGAAATGCGAGGGCCCTTGGGCCACAATCCCAAGTCAAAGCCCCACACCGCCTCAGTTTCTTCCACAGGACGGGCAGTCTGGAAGGAACACCCCTGAGGAGGAGGCCACTTCTCCAGTTGTTGATCTTGGCTGCGGCTGAGATGGGTTAGTTCATCCGGGAGGGGCTTTGCCTCGTTTAGCGTTGCAGCGCAGGGACTCATGGGCAAATCGCAGGACGCGGAGGCTGCCCAGTTTCGCAAACGGGCCTTGCTGGCTCGTGACCTGGGTCTGGATGTAGCGTTATTGCCGGAGACCTGGCGCTCAGAGTTTGGGTTGAGAACTTCAGGGGACATTTCGGGGCCCAGAAGTGTCTTCCGGCTTGAAAATGGCTCCGTGCGATCTCACGGCTCACGGCATGCTCAGACTGCGAACAGGCACACATACATGACATACCTACATACAGAACATCTAGTTACGTCCAAAAGCATATATATATATATGTATGTATGTATATCTTCAGTTACCTACCTACATACATACAATCATACATACATGCATACATACGTACACACACACACAGAGACATAAATATACATACACATACATATACATATACACATACAAATATCCAAATACATGTAATGCATATATAATTACACATATTCAGTCCCAGCAGTGTGCAAGACCAGACTTGGCTAGAAACCTGGGCAGAAAAAGATCCGCAGCGACCTCCCGAGGTGCAAAGTCAGCACCGTTCCCCGCCGGAATCCTGGGCAGAATATTTCGAGATCTTCCCCATTGGCTCGCTGTTTGCATGGCCTCTGGCTGTGGTGCCTCTGTTTCCTCCACGTCTTCATGGTCAGATCTGCACATAGAAGCCTCCACTTCAAGCTGGCTCCACTGTGGAGTTTCGCTTGTTCGTCGTCTCTGCCTTCGGACTCTGAGTGAGTTGCGATCCTGAATTCGTTTCTTCTTGTGAAAAGCACGGAATGTTGGGATCCTCGTAAGTTCAGGATCTGTACTTCGTCCTGCTCTTGTAGAGCCAGAGCCGTCCCGAGTCGTATCTGGCCAGCTTCAATCCGTTATCCGAACCTAACTTGCAGAGCGCTGGCAGAGTAAGTCTGCACGATAATTCTTATTGCACCCGAGACACTTGAACTATGCAGCCTGCTTATAGTAGGCCTTGGCATCATGGACAGACAGCTACAGAGCAGGTCCCGAAGGAGTTCCTATCAAGCTGGCGCATGCAGACGAGGTCGTATGAGGGCGTGCTGTCTTGATGTTAGCATCCGGAATCCGGATACTGCTGCTACTGGTCTTGCTTTAGAACTCTGCTACCTGCCGGTGGCTTCAAGGGTTGACTGTCGATTGTCCGACTTTTCTTTCAAGCGCTTGGCAATGATCTGACAGATTCGGAGCTACAAGCGTTCGTCGAATGTGTGATAGCTTCAGCCCTGCAAAAGTGGACCATCTGCAGCCCGTGCAAAGGGTAATGTTTCAGGATCTTCAGGCAAGATTTGCATTCTGTTCTACACTCGTAGCTTTGGCAACAGCGGCTTGACCCTGTCCTAAGTGCATACACAGGGTACGCTACAACGCATGCAGAACCAGGTTGTGTTTGGTTTGTGCAGTTCGGATGTAGTTTACTGAATCTTGTATTCTCTTTTGTTTGTGGTGGCCCTCACAGGTCTGCAGTCTGTCCTTCGGCAGCTGCAGCACTCGCCTGGTCGCTGGCGGCTATGACCAGCATCTGGTCATGTGGGACGCTGAAAGCCTGACTCCCAGACGACCCGCCGCTAAAGTTTCCATGTCTTTCTCCGCCGGTCAGAGATATCTTCGGTGTTCGATTCCTGGAGCGTTTTCGTGTTCGCCGGAAAGGATTATTGCCCCCACTGTCCGGTATCCACTTGAATCCGAGAGCCGCAATCTCCGAACGTCGGAGCGCCGAGGCATGGCGCGAACAGCTGAGCATCATGTGGAAGCTGAAATTCTTTGCGCAGTCCCGGCTCGCTCTTTGGGGCCCTTGGGTCGGGCTCGAGGGCTGCATTCTTAACCTGCCTTACCGATCAAGGCAGCGGAACGACGAGTGTCGAAACGCGAAGAGGGATCCCGAGGCTTTGCTTCAGAGCGAGGGGCCTAAGGCTGCCAAGGCGTCTAAGACTGCCTCCATGCTATTGCGGAAGCCACGGCTACCAGAACAATCTAACAGCATTATCGCATCAGCCTAGATTCAGTTCAGTCGGATGAATGAAAGCTTCATGAAGTTGTCCCGTGCATTTTGAGGGAACCCTTCCGACATCGGTCGGTGACACAGTCGAAGGGCTATACCAGGATCTTATCTGCTCAAGTGTGAGTCCTTCGCACAGCTCGCAGCACCCGTGCTGGAATGGAAATGAATGGAAGCGTTAAAGTTGAGCAAACCACAGTGTATGAGTCTAGAAGACAGGTTGCTATCTCGCCGTGCGGGAAGTACGTTTACTGTGGGGACAACGACCGTGAAGTGAATGCGGGGTGCTAAGGAGCGGCTTCGATTCGCTGTGTGACTGCTATTGTCAGGCCAATTTCTGAAGCAAAGGGGGAGCTAAGGCTACGTCAGTAGTGGGATTGACGCCCGGATAGGCAGGCCGGCGCTTTCAGCTTTCCTGTGGCCGGGGCTGGCCTCCGGAGTCGGCTTGGAAGGTGTTCGTGTTGCCCTGTCCGCCAACAGAGGGCTCTTGCTGTATTCTAGGAGCAGTGTTCTAGATACTAGAGTCCTAGAGCTGAGAAGGCAGGGAAGCTCATGTGCCGAGGTCTTTGACGCCGGGACGCTCGAAGTCCTGGGGAAACAAGTGCTCAAGGAGAGAGGGCAAAAGCCGACTCCTGACATACCGTGACCTGAACTGACACTTCGAACTGGTCCTTGGGCATGTTGATCATGGTCTGAATCACTTCGTCTCGTCGCGGTCTTTCAAGATGTCGGGGGCCTTAGGCCTTAGGGACACGCTGTTGCCCCTGGGCCCTGGGGCTGCCCCAGGAGCAGTTTGTAAGCCTCGTGGCGCGGCTCTCGGCGCTTACTCATCAAGGTGTGAGGTCTTCGGATGTCGGGTTCCAATGATAGTTCGACCTCCGGCTCCTATCGTTAGCAACATGAATACTCCAAATCGTCAGCAGCAGCTGTGGCTAGGATTGTTAGGTGGCTCTGGCAGCTGTGTTCTGTCGTTGTTGGTATATTGTTGCCATTGGCTTCATCGTTAGTATTGTCATTATTGCTTTTATCACTGTTGCTGCTGTTTATGGAGGTGGAGGGTGCATGAGGGTGGATCAGGGTGGATGATGGTAAATGGGTGGATGGAAGGATGGATGGATGCGGGGTGGGCGGGCGGGTGTGTATGTGTGTGTGTATATATATATGTGTATGTATGTATACGTATATATATATATAGATGTGTGTGTGTGTGTTTGTGCATGTGTGCGCGTCCGATAAGGGCATCAGCTCGCCAACAAGCCTCTTGGCTGTCGGGACCCAAGTGGAGCTTCTCTTGCTTCTTCTTAGCAGGTAGTTGCTCCTGCGACTTTGGGGCAGCAGTGAGTAACATAGAGCAGCAAGGGATGAAAACCCGACGTGGAGATACGCGTGCTTCGACGGTATTTTCGCCGCCCAGGTCGCATCGCACATCGTCGTCAAGATTTTCTCCGTAGCGATCTGAGTGACCAATATTTCAGGTTTACATGTTGCAGTGATCTGTTGTTCAGCCATGCCAGTGGAGTGAACGGAAGGAGAGCAAGTCAGAACGTTGAGCAACATCCAGAGCTAAGCCCTGCACTGCGCGAAGGTCCCAGATGTTGAGGAAATCACAAGTCTGCAGCATGGAGGACAGGTGCGCCCGGCGATTTGGGGGCCGAACCTGATATCTCTCTCCAGCTACGAAGTCCCCAGGACTGCTCGATAAGTGTTGGCTGCGCCGGCATCTGAGCGCACATATCAGTAGGCCATTCTCAATCACGGCCCTTGATAAGGCTCCATGGCATAAATAAGAACGCCGCAACATGGGCACTCAAGAAAGGCACGGTAGTTCAGAACGCCTCCATCATCGGACTTGTAGCCTTGCCCTTGAGCAGAGCCCACATGACGCTGCAGACCAACCGAAGGATCCTCCGGTGGAGCCCTGCCCCTCCACAAAGCCTCAAGGTGCATAGCCTGAGCTACTCGCCCAGCCTCGGGATGCTTGCGGCAGCTGGAGGTCCTGGCATGGCTCCGGGTTTCTTCAGTGGGCGTTTAGACCTCTTTTCAGGTATGTAGGTATGTCCCTCCGGGTGTTGGCACAGAGGGAGACAGCAAGAGGGAGGGAGAGAGGGATAGAGCGAGAGAAAAGCATGTAAAGATATAAATGTATAGGCACGTATGGCCGTATGTATCCATGTATCTGCTTATGTATATACTAATATATCTACGTATGTACGGATAGGTAGGTATGTATGTATGCATGTATGCAGTATTCAGGTCGGTAGGTAGGTAGGTAGGTAGGTAGGTAGGTAGGTAGGTAGGTAGGTAGGTATAGGTAGGTTTGTGTTTTCCTGTTGTCGTATGTTTTCTCGTATGTGTGTATGCATGTGCATGTTAGCATATGTTCATGTATGTGTATGTGCGTGTCGATAGAAGGGTGCAATACTAGATCGATGGATGGGTCGATAAACAGACAGACCGACAGACCGACCAACAGACAGTCAGACAGACAGACAGACAGACAGACAGACAGACAGACAGATGGATGATAGACAGTCATGTGCAAATGCACATCTGCCACATCCCGTTGGATCAGGATATGCGTGCATTATGGTTTTGATGGTAGACGGCGTGTCGGTCTGTTGTCGTTTCTGGTATTGTTGGTATAGGATTGAGAGTAGGGTTGACGCCCCCCGGCGAGTGTAACATGGGGCTGGCCTTTGTAGAAAAGCAAAGTGTAAGTCCTTGAAATGATGCTGCCCATGCCAGTATGATTACCTACCAAGTTAAGCATGCGAGATCAAAGCCACCAACATGCTGGCTGGGCTGCCAGATCAGTGCCACCCGCCGTTCAGCTCAGTTCCTCCACATTTGCAAGCTGCACAATTCGCTTTCCTGAACGAATGCATCCCGTAGCGGTGGAGATCGGAGAAGAAGGTCAACTCATTGTCATCTGCCCTCCTTGCACAGGCATTGATGTCACGGAATCGGGCCTTCTCAGCTACAGCAGCAGCAGCTTCCGAGAAAAAGATCCAGGAGGAATGAAGGTCTGCTGATCTTCTTGCGGGGGTTCGGGAGCTTGGTCTTCAGGCGATAGGGCGGTGTTGAACCTTCGCTGAGGTCACAAGCTGGTCCAAGCACGGTTCACTTGACCTCAAGTTTTCTAGATGTCACTGCTAGCTTCTGGAAGACGTGCACGCAGACAGGCAAAACAACTCAAAGGTAATGACGATGCAGAACGCCGTCTTAACCAGGCTTCGATGTGTTTAAGGTGCGTGCGCACTTCTTGACAGTCAAAGACGGGTTGAGTCGCCTAGGCTTTTTGTCCGGTTGACGGTGTGGACAAAACCCCCCATCCAGATGTGAAGCCTGCCAGGCGGTGGTCTGGAAAGGATCCAGCGAATTCGCTGCAATTTGGGATGAGGTCGGCGCCGTGAGTTACAAGGAGCCCATTCAAGAAAGGGTACCGGAAATGCAGAAGGATTGAAGCTTGATTTCGGAATGCCCTGCATGATTCTTGGGGTTGTGCAGTGTCGAACCTCGGCCTGGTACGACTCCAGAAGTTGACATCGATTTCTTCGATTATGCATAGCAAGGCGAGTGTGGCCAAATTGGGTAGATTTGGCTGCGGCTTGAGAGCAGGCCATGGAGCCCTGCAACTCCCCCCTCGATGAAAAGCGACTACAGTTCCACTTTGAACTCAACAGCATCTCACGGAAAAGCTGTTTTGCGCAGGACCCCTGCCATGCCGCCAGCTTTTCACCGTCGGGCAAAGCTCTGGCGTTGGGCGGCGAGGTGCCTGGGTACTGTAGCTGTAGTTCCGCAGAGTTGTGGGATTGGTAGGATTTCAGGCGCACTTGGCTACCGCTCCATTCCTTGCGGTCTCAAATCGTGTCTTTTCGCTCCAAAGATAGGCAACAGCCCAATTGAACCGGCAAATTCGTTGAGGCTCTGGGCCATCCGATTGGTTGGTCCTTTTTTGTCGCCTGGTGTAGTGAGACTGGGCGAGTCTTGGGCGCATCGGGGTGTAGATGTGAACCAGTTCGCTTGCTCAGAGCGAAGCACCCGAAGAGCGCTGGTGACTTTGGTCTGGCTGGTGAACATCTTACTGCTCTTGCATGAAGTGCAAGTGTTTGCTTCGACACGGCGGCTCAACGGACTCTGAAGTATGGTCTAGCTGTCTTGCTGTGTGAAGGACCGGACGATCTCCCTGCTCTCCGTTGAGAAAAAGTTTCGACAGGCCGTATGGGCAAGACCTGCTGACTGTCGGGATTGGCACAGACGCACTGTCGGATGTTCAGCGGTTCAGTGCTGCTCAGCTTAGGTCATATAGTCAGGCCGAACCTTGTATGATCCAAATACCTGCAGTTGTGAAGAAAATACACTTACACATAGATTTGTTCATAGATGCATAAACTTAGCAATGGGAAAGGCATGGGTACATAGTTAGGCAATGCAAATATGGATATGCATCGGGTAAGCGACATAGATACAGACAAAGGCATGTATACACACATGCAAGAGCATACATATACATACATAAATGCATACATAAATACATGTGTACATCCATGCATGCATACATGCACACGTGCATGCACGTATGCATGCATTCCTTCCTGCCTTCGCTTTTTTTATTCATTCATTCATCCATCCATCCATTCATTCATTTATTAATTCATCCATTCATCCATTAACTCATTCATTCATTCATGCATGCATTCATTCATTCATGCATTCATTCATTCATTCATTAGTTCATTCATTAGTTCATCCACTCTCTTTCTTTCATTCATGGTATATATATATATATATATATATGTGTGTGTACATCTTATATATATATATATGTATGTATGTATGTATATATATATATACATGTATATATATGTGTGTGTGGGTGTTCAAACATTCATACATACGTATATGTATATACATATGTGTGTATGTATGTATGTCTGTATGTATGTGTGTATGTACACATACATACATACATACATATATATATATATGAATAAATAGATATAAATAATGAATACATATATACATATATATATATATGTGACCATTAGCGCTTTGCACACAGTAAGATGTTGTGTACTTCCGGTTTGTTTATGTGAGCAACATCGTTGCGAAGATTCGCTTCGCATCTGTGGTTGTATCCAATATTTGTGGTTATAGCTAGGTCTGTTGTGTGAAAGCTTAGCGGATTACTTCTGTCGTTGTGGTTGCAATCATAGCACGATTTTGCCGATATTCTCCGTTGATCGCGTGGCCCTTGTTTTGACACCAGTCATGTCTATTATTCGCATGAAGTCCCTGGAAGGTGGAGCAGCTCCCCTGTGGCGCCGGCATTCGATGTCTCGCCTGGGCGGCAAACTCGCGGCTCCTAGCTTCGGCTGGGGAGGAGGGATTGATTGTCGGATATCTTGCAGCACAAGTAAGAGTGGTATCAGGGGGTTCAGGTGAACGCGACGAATTGTGAACGGATCAGAGGAGGGGCAAGAGACGTTGAAGAGCAGAAGAGCAGCGAGAGAGAGGGAGAAAGGGGCAAGCTGAATAAACTATCCCGACTTTGAAGAGTGTTGCTGTTCAAGAGCCGACTTGAGTTGCACTTTTTATTTCCCCTGCAGCTCGGAATTGTCAAGATCCGGGGAATGGGAGGTGTCAGGCCTCTGAGCTTGGTAGGGCCGCCCCTTGAGGAGTCTGCGACAGGACACCTTTGCTCCTTAGAGAAAGAAGGCAAAAGAGGGGAGAGAAAGACAGAGAGCGAGAGAGATAAAAGAAAGGGGATACAGCTGGCCTTTCTAGACGGTCAACCAGAAAACCGCTGCAGTGAGGGCATACACATCATTTCCTTCAGCAGTAGCCCACGCAGGCACACCCAGAGAACACAGATGGCACAGAAGTTTGTTTTGTGGGTTAATCATGGTTCCGGTGCACAGCCCGCATCTCCGGACAGAGGGGACCAGCTGGCATACATGTGCAGTGAACATTGTTTCAGATTTCCGCATTGGAACAACTTCATTTATAGATTCCGGTAGCCACTCATGCGGTGTGCCGCAGCCAACATAGAGTTGGTGAGTGAGCATGAGAAACCAACGCAAGCAGAGCGAGAGGTAGCGCCCTGTCAGGAGGCAGGCTCTCCTGTCCTCTGACCCATCGGGATAAGCCCGCCGGAGCGAGCTCAACTTACTGCACATGTTCAGCCCTCGCCTTCGGCAGGATATGCGTGTGTCGGTTTGGGATGCCTGGGCCCTAAGTGCTTTGGAGCCACTCTGATACGCGGGTCTATGCCATGCATTCCGGACCCCTTCTACGTGAATCTCCTCAGATTAGATGCTCAAGGCAATGGAGACCACCGAGACAACATGGAGCCCGAATAACGTGACCATTGAACACTGAGGAAGGATTCCCTGTGAGTTAGCATGATCTGAGACGTGATATTGTCTGTTGTCTCGACAGCAGCCCCAGAATGCCGCGTCATCTTTTGAAGCTGTCTGAACATGAATCACCACAACCACTTTCACACATTGTTGACCTGCAGACTAGGCCTGCTTCACAAGTTGAGCCCCTCAACCTCATGCTACAGCCAGCATGCCTTGAGCCAGAGCGAGGTGCTGTACAAGCGAGTCATTCTCCAGCTGCCTAAGGCATGGATGTGAGGTTCCATTAGATTCATAGGCCAAGGCTGAGGCTTTAGGTGCCTAGGGCCGCGCTGGTACTTGGAATAGCCCAAGCTGCTCCGAAACACCGACCCCTTGCACTGCAGCTCGACTTCAATCTCCCCCACAAGTGAAACAGAGTACCACGCGCACGGGCAGGCAAGCATCCTGAGCGTTTCCTTGATTCGACATGATAACAACGGTAACTAATCAACGATCCGTAAACGGACGGCCAAATGAAGTCTGTCAAGGGCAGTGTCCCCTCCCCCACCTGTTGACCAGCTTCAGAAGATCCAGTAGCACGCAGGCAGATGACTGGCGCGAGACCCAGCGTTTTGTGTTGGCTCCACCCGAGGCTGTTCTTCCCATGACTATGCAGGTTTCTCTCCCTGGGCTTCAGGGGGACCGGAAAATGGATTCCCTGGTTGCTGTACCCCGCATGTAGCATGCGTCCGGCTGAGGCTGTGCAGTCTGGCGTTTAGTGCCAACTCCAAGTGGTCCGCAGCTGACATCAGGGTTGGAACTTCATGTCGTAGCAGCTGAATACTGTGAGATTGGCCTTAGTACTCGTGCCTCCGAAAACTGGACAGCAAATGACATGATGGTAGTTTCCGTGGTTCGAGGCCATGTCAAACTTCAGGGCTGCATCACTTTCGATAGATTCAATCGTCCCAGGTTGGATCCATGCTTTTGTATCGTGACTCAGCCAGGATACCATGAATCTATTGTCTGGGGCATAACTGTGTACTGATCCTAGTGTTCGCGCTTGACCTGGAGTGACGTCGGGACACAAAATATTCGACTGCGGCTTAAGGGGTGAAGTAGTCCGATCATCTTGGTAGCATGTATTGCCAGCAAGAGCCGTCGAGAAGCACCGTGCAAGCGAAGCCCTTCCCACAGCAGCTTCGGAGGCCTTCATCCTGCTTTTTCGCCCTCCCTCGCCCACTCTCTCTGTCCTTCTCTCCCTGCGTCGCGGGCCATCCCCAAGCCTTTCACAGTGCTTTGCCGAGGTTAGCATCTTGCGGGTATGGCCAAAACACTGTCGACCTTTGGCCACTCGAGGTTCAATCGCAGCTTTGCGTTATGTGGAGCCACGTCCTGACACTGCTGCCCATGCTTGCAAGCCCAGAAGCTCCGATGATGCAGGTCGAACTTATAGACCCGAGCTCGAACGAATGAGCTTGCCCGGTTTGGTCATTTGGCCATTGGGAGATCGCACTCAGCGTGTTCAGAAGTACCACTTTGGGGTGTGCAGAATTCGGCTTTGCGCGCTTTCTCCCGTAAATCGGCCTGAGGGCTCGAAATGCAGCTCCTCTCGCAGATTACCGCTGCATTTGCCTAGCCTTCACACTCGACCGTCTCTCCTCAGTTTTTCAAAACATCGTTGGAACCTGCAAACAGAATGCAAACAGAACCGAAGCACAACATTTTGGAGCAAAAGGCAGCGGTTCTTTTCAAACAGCACACAGTCCGTCTCACAATCAATCACCAAAGCCCCTATTGTGAAAATGTCAGACATTACTGTGTCTGACTTCTGGTTTATCTTGCAGATCTTCATATGCTAAGCGGGGCTCAAGCGTTCAGGCATTGCCGTCGCACGTGGAATGTGCATCTTGGATGAGCGAACGGCTCCTAAGATGTCAGATGCAATCACAGTAGCCAGCTGCGCAGCGATTTTGATGATGCCAACAGCTTCGGCAGACGTCGTATCCATGCCGAGACAGCGCAGCATCATTGTCGAGTTTCCTGCGCTTTGCAGCTTTAACCTGCAGCTCACATCCTTTTGGCCATGTCATGCCCACTGGTCACCGGTCACTAGTCACTAGTCTGATATGCTGAGACGAAGAGGTCACAGTACAGCACGACAATGTTTCTGCCAATTCGCCCAACCTCGAGTCCCGACGCATGAAAGGCGATAGCAGGTTCTAGCAGGGCTAACACCAGTCGCCCATAAGTTCAGAGAGCTTTTATCGTAACCCCTTACACAGCAACCCCGATAATAGCAAGGAGTACTTTAGCTGAATCCGAGAAGGTCGACATCACGAGCATTTTCCTGATGAGCAGCAGGTGATTCTCAGGCCGCTGGCCCGCTACAGGGCCCCAGCACCGGGCACAAAGAGGCCTGCTGAAAAGCGCCCTGAGCTTCAAGTATTTAAAGCCAGCAATCCGGCTTTGCACAAGTCTGTAGGCAGCATGTTATGGGCTTTTTAGAGGGTCGTGGTAATCAGTGTATTCAAGGGAAGAAGAAACACCTAAACTCCATCTGTTCAGCGTAAGATCGTCGCCTGTACCTGTTGTGCGAAAAGTCTGCCAGGCCTCGGCACTTTGCCGTTTTGATTCGTTGAGCTGTTCGTCGAGGGCTCACCTACAAAAGCGGCTCCGGGTTTGAGTGACTGAGCAGGGTGTGCCTTACGATGCCTTACGAGAATCGAGTGGCGATGAATCTGAAATCTCTGGCTTCAGCTCATTGGGTCATGAAGGTTACAGAGGCTCCCATGGTCGGCTGGCACGCACGCTATCGTAGAGACTTGAAGGACGTGTATCTAGTTGGGTAGGCAATGGATGGGGTGGGTCTGCCGGGCCTTGCCCATGCATCAAAATGCACGACACATCTTGGGTTCAGATTATTTGCTTGAAGTTATCTTCGGGATAAATCTACACGTGCCCATCCGCCGTTCGCTTGCCTTGCGATGTCCATGAAGCCAGAGGTCAAAAGGCAGGGCCAACGGGATCCGGGTTCCAGGCGCCGGGTATGATGTGATGCTTCTTACTGTCCGAGAGTTTCCCCATTCTTGATTCCCCATATACACTCCCCAGCGTTCGGCCTGGGGCTCTGACACACTGTAGGGCCGACCAAAAGCGCAGAGGTCTGCCGAGCCGAAGTCTGGCCAGGGGCCTCCGCTCTACAGGCCTTGGCACCTCAGAGTCAAACAGCTTGAAATCCCGGAAGTGCAGTTCGGGTTCAACAGGCGGCGTGCTGCGCTTGACCTGCTGTGACCTCGTTGCCCCTTTACTCTTGCTAGGGTCGGGCAGCTGTTCAGAAGATGGCCCTGCAATCGGCCAGATGTGCTGGTGATCACACCGACTTCCTCCCTTTCACTTCTCCACTGTCCATGAGCTTCGCTACTCCCTAGACAAACCTGAAACCAGCCGCAGGCCGCAGCATTACTACGAGTCTCCGGCTGGCATCCACAAGGTTGCGGGAGACCCGGACAGCTCTGATATGCTGTGAACGCCAAGACACCTCGCCCAAGTCAAGGGGTCCATGCAGGGCCCTCGAGTTCGAAGTCCCCGAAGCTTCCTGCAATCTGCCCCTCGCGTCGGCCCAGGACTCGATCCTGCGGCACCTGCAGCAGACGGAGAGCCATGACTGGGTGGGAGAGATCACACACTGGGGCACGCAGGCCAGGTGGGCCAGGTAATGGACTCAGGGAAACATGCTCGGAGCTGCTTCCCAGAGCAGTCCAAGGTTCAAAGGCAGAAGTCTTCTGAATTCCGTGTCGCCGTGATTTGCGTGGTTCCGGCTTGAGGGATTCGAGGGTGCTCATTTGCTCAAGGCTTCACTTCCCGTGGACAGGACATGGATCCTTGATGATCCTTCAGTCTTTTGTGATGCAGCAATGCAGCGGGGCTTCAGCGCCAAGAGCCTTGCGCACCATCAGAGGGTCAAGATGTTGATGACAGCAGGTCTTGTACCTGTTGCTGCAGAACTACAACATCACGCGCCTGAGCATCCAGAGCACCTGGACTGCAGCGGCATCCCCGCCGTTCAAGACTAGATGTCATCTGTCCAACCTTGCGGCATGACACAAGCCTGCCTGGTACTCGTTGGAGTATGCTGGCTTCCTTATGGAAATACGTACACCTTGGAGACTCAAGGTCCCGCATGATGTTGCGACGATTCTCCAGTAAAGCTCTATCTGCAAGTCTCCCAAACTCAAATGAAGTTTGAACCTTCATCAAGCTGTGCCTGTGACATTCACATCCTTGTAGCTCTGCGCCCAGGCAGCAATTTCCATTTGATATTTCTTACCACATTCTTCTTCGCTCAACGCATCTGGTGGGCGACTCGGTGACGCTTGGTGCCTCTGAACGCCGGAGGCAATCTAGAAAAACATGACTGTTGTTTTGAAAACTGCATGCTACCACTTACACTTGTAGCATGTTACCCTTCACAAGTTCTGGACATCCGAAGCCGCAGTTAAGAAGTTTCTGATTGATTCTACGTGGTATGTGCAAACATCTATGTAGGCTACACAGTCGCGGTCAGAGTCCTGCAGATGGACTCATAGTCAGAGCCCTCTCTATTTGCTGCCTCGATCTCCCAATCTAAGTCGGCCAAGGTTTTTCCTCTGGCGGATGACGCAGTTCTCGGATGCTCATGGGGTTCGCTTTGCGCGCGGACCTCAGGGCTTGCTATGCAAGGTACACGAGTGTTCCTCACAAGGCTGCAGCTAGCTAGGCTGAAGCGAGAGCCAATTCTTTCAGACGCATTGAAGCTACCGCGTGTAGATTGATTTGGAGTCCTGTGGCAACGAGGAGAAGAGGTGCATTTCATGGATCTTTGCGATGGATGCGTGAATGAGGAGTTGTACCAGTGTGAGGATCATGGGTTTGTTTTTGCCGAGGTGTCATCTCACCCTTTTCTTCGTCACCGTGGATTCCCTGTACTGCGGCCTTACGCTCGCCATGCAGGAGTTCAGCTGCTCCTGAAGAAAGCATGCACGAGAGTCACCGAATGCCAAGATAAGCCGGACTGGAGATCTCGCCTCACAACCTCAGAGCGATAAGTAGACTGAATGAGCTTTGCCATCACTGCAAGCGCAGGACTCGCTTGCAGGGATCTACTTGGCGTGCATCCCTCAGACTGGCATGCCTTTGATCGTCTGTCCGGTCAAGCCTGGCTTGTGTGCTGGTCCGGTTCTGTTGATGCGGACAAGCACTGGAGCCCGGCGGCGATTAGCGAGTGGGATTCTGAGCCAAGCTATCTTGGCAGATGGCTCCTCTCGACCCGAATCTGCCAAGCAGTGAGTTCTTGTGGCCCATGCGTCTACTGCTGAGTTTGTCAGTGTTGGTCCCGACTCGCAAGCATCACTCTTCCGGTTCTGCAGACGAGCCTACCTAGCAATCCCCGAGCCCAACTGCTTGCACTTAAAGACGGCCGTAAATGGGCTTTCAATTTCCGATGTTGATCCCCATGTAGCCCCATACCTGGAAAACTGCACAGGAGCTGCTGCTACCATCGATAGTCAAGCTTTACGCATGCACTACAGGAAGTCCGAGCACAGCTCCTTCCACGCACCGGACACAAGCTGCATCGTATTCTGCTTGAGGCTGCCCTTGCTGCTGAGTGTGCTCTTTTATCACGGCTACTTGTCGTGGCCTGAGCTACTCTACCTGGAAAGTAAAGGCTTCTTGAGACCTTTGAGGTTGCCTATGGCCATCCTTGCTCATTGTGAGTTGCATTGCCCACCCGCCTTCTTGCAGAGGCGATCTAGAAACTCACAATAGCCTCTTCGATGCACCGTGTAGATACCCTGTCAACCCCCAGCAATGTGCCTGCAATTATGCAATTCTCTCTTTGTTTCACTCAAAAAGCCCTTCGAAGCGCTGAGGAAATCACAGACCAACGTGTTCACTGCCGAGATCTTCAACATGCTCCTCGGTGCAAGAAGAGGAACAGGTCACCGGTTCTGATCGCCTTGTAATCTACTGTAGGAACCCAGGTTAGTATAGTACAGTTTAATATACGGTACTACAATATAGTACAGCATAACATGAGATGATGGAATATGGAGCAATCTCACCAAATCCAATCTAATCTTGATCAAATAGTCTAGCAGCATTCAATGGAGTAGACTAGAACAGAACAGAATACAGATCGCGCCTGGTTTTTCAGCTCTCATCACTATTGATTCCGATCAAGTTCTTGGCAGGCAGGTCGAGTTCACACTTCCAAGACCCCGCAGTAGCATAGGTCTGTCTACTCGCACTATACATCTGTACCGGTTAGCATCAGCTTCAATCAGACAACATTCCGAATTGCTGCTACTTTTTCCACTCCACCTTGCCAAGGCTCAGACGGTGCGGGTACCACAGCCTTGAAGCTGCCTACTGCATCGGTGTGTTACCTCTGAGGCTCGACAGTTTATGGATTTGTTCGTATTGAGTTGCCAACCGACAGTCCGCAGGAGTGGTTTCTGGCGTTTCTGGGATTGAAACCTGGCTTGCCAGCGCAGTAAGTAGTTGATGAGTTGTGGTTGTGAGCCCTGCGAGTTGACAGAGGTCTGAGCTCTGTTGTTTAGATGGCAGTTGTTTGATCTTCGGCAGGTAGTTGTCATACGAAAGGTCTTTCGATGCCTCAGTGCTTGCGGGAAGGGTTAGCTGATCCAGGACAAGCGTTTGGGTTCCCACTACGCAAGCACATGGCTGCTCTGAACAGGTTTGTGCGACACGACTACATCTACTACGATACCTCCCGATGTGCTGCCACGGGCTTGGAAGAGGGAGGCAAATGATTGACAGCTAAGCTCCGCAGACCTCGCCAGCATCGTTCCAGAGCACCAGGGTCTTCCCTGTACAATCATTAGAAAGCATGTCTCTCGCTCTCTGTCGCTCACATAGGAGGTTGGTTGATATTGGTTTCCTCATCACACCGCAAGTATTAGAAATGGTCGGACGGATTTTACCGTCGCCGGGCCGGCCAAGGCTGAGATAGTGTCCAGGTAGACAATTGTGCAAGGACGCCCACAAGCACCGAGCCGTGAAATATGCCCAGATGTACTTGTTATCACACGTGCTTGCCTGGATGTACATGCAGCGAAGGTGCCATCTGTGCTGTATGTACCCAACAGAACCACCGCCCTGAATGAGAAAGGAATGCAAGGCACCGGAGATCCTGAAAAAGCTAAGTTCTTGACGTTCCTCGTCACGGTGCACATCTTCCTCAGCTTCTTATGTCTGGACCGCCGAGAAGCTTGAAAGTTCAGGGTGGGCAATGTGTTGGGGTTGTGGCAGAGAACGGTCCTGAGTTCAAGATCTTGCTTGATTTACTTGTAGCGCTTTGGCTGTCTTGCTCTGCTGCGCCGGAGAGTGGGCGCCGTCCGACTCGACTGGAGGGACGGGGCCACCCTCAAGATCTGGAGCTGCGTCCGGTGGAGGGGTGAATGTTGGAGGGTTTCGCAGGCTGCATGGGAGACTGCAGTACGGATTTTCCGAGTCCTTGTGAGGTGCTGTAGCCTCCCCGTTGCCTCATCGACGGCCAAAGACCGCACGCCAGAAACTACGGCAATCACCTTCGTTCCGCCGGACCTGGGAGGAGCTGCACTGCTTGGGGTCCGAGGCGCTTCAACAGCCGACCGCTCAGCACGACCCGTCGCGTTCACAGCGGGATGTTGTAAGATGAACCTTGGGCGCCTGTGGGCACCAAGGACTCGAATGCTCGGCGAGTGGCGAAGGATGTCGGAACTGGCTTGGCGCCCAGCCTTTGGCGCTTTTCTGCAGGTGAGCCATGTCTCCCTCTGGCCTTGCCTTGCCCGAATCCTTGACATCAGCCACTAAGCCTCGAAGCTTGGAATGTCCGTCCCAGTGCAATTCTTGAAACCCGGAGTCCCTGTGGCGATCGCAGTACTTGTGGCTACCTGTAGCACCATTACGAAGGGTTGATCTCCTCTCTATTCTTGTCTTCTGAACCAGGTCCGCCCACTTCCCCAGATCCGGCGCCTCACGGCCACCACTTGCATTCCGAGGCTCCAAAGCACGCGAAACCACAGGAGTGGTCGAGCCACAGCTGTCCATACCCTCGAGGCCACCAGCAGATCGGAACCTGTCGTAATCTGCTGCACGTTTGACTGTTGTGCTGCATGGCTGGAGTCAAGCGTGTTTGGACCCAACTGACCCCCAAGCCGGGCACGGAAAGGTGCTGTCGTCTTGTGCAAGGGGCGGTACTACGAAGCTCTGGCCTGCAACTTAGCCGATGGGTTTTCTGCTTGCGAAGCTGATCGAGAGAGTATCCGATAATCCCAAAGCTAAGGTGCGCTCTGCAAAATATACATCACCAAACTTAATGCTTGTAATGAGCATAGAACTGGCAGTGCCTGCTGCTTTAGAGAGCAGAGGTTTTGGAATGGCCTGCTCTGCAGGGCCTTTTGATTTCGCGAGGCTGCGCTGAATACCGTCATGCCCACGAGCCCGCCTTGGCCTCAACACGGAGACAAGGAAAGAAATAATGAACCAACATTCAACACAATCATAGTCATCATAGTAAGACATATAACAATAATAATTACAAGCATTATTGAGAAAATTATGAAACTGTTTGCCATTACTAGTACTATGGTCATCATGCAGTCATGACAACGAGCAATAGAACAACGACATGAACAATGGGACAAGAACAACAAGAACAAATGGCATAGTGTTAAAACATGGTGGAATGCAGAACATGTCGGATATGCTGCGTTGGTATTGGAGAGTAGCACTCTTGAGCCCAAGAAATTACTAGAAGTGGAATACAGTCTAGATGGCCAGTGTCAAGCTTGGGCTGTTCATGTAGTCTGTCAGCTTGATGAGGAAGAGCCGTAGCGCCTTGGCAATCTCCGATGTTCCAGTAGCACCCAACCTTGTGGTAGTGCTACTCGAACTTGCAATAGTTGTCATGCATCTGGTTTAAAGAGGCAGCCGTACAGGCCGGAAGGCAGTCGCGTTGGAACATGGCACCTGCACGTCATAGTATAGGTCGAAACCAACACCCTTAAGCACACCACATGGCAATCGGCAATCTGCTGCCCAGGCAGTCCTTGATTTGGCCCATTGCCTACATCCTCGGTGACTCGCAGCGTGCAAAGGCATGACTTGCTCAGAGTGACTTTTGCATGACAGAACAATCTTTCTGCCCGTGATTTGGGATTGTAGAGCCATTAGGCTGTGGAGCATGATTCGCATAATGGGGGAGGGTTGGAATTGCTTGCTCGCGACTGAGATGGCCTGTGCAGGCTTTTATGTTGGTTGCCCTGCTCATGCTGAATGTGGTTCTGGTGCAGCTGGTGGTTTGGTCCAACCAGCGGCGGTCTCATTTGCAGCAGTAAATCAGACCCAGAGATGGCAGGCATCAGCCGCAGACATGCCAGGTCAGAACGTTGCAAGGCAGACTGCCGACCAGTAGCACAGCATGCACAGCCGCATCAGCCGCTTCGTCGGAGTTTCTCCCCACGAGCTGAGGTGGATCATGTATGCAATCATGATCATTCCCAACAGCATCCACTTCTTGTATGTCAAGTCCGGGCCACAGAAGTTCAAGTTTCCGGTCGATAGGAGCTCCGCCCCCCCCCCAGCACAAAACCCCGGGATGCAGGAAGCCTAGGCTGACCCTTAGTGCCATTTACCGGCGTTACACCCCCAACGAGCACATTCCATGATCGGTCCCGCACTGCGGGCAAAAGCGCTCCAGGCTAGTTCCCGGCGTGCGTGAAAGCTAGGCCATTTGCCATGGAGTCGGGCACTAGACTCTAGAAGTCATGAAATCAGCTCGGGTTCGGCAGGACTTGTGGGAAAATGCCACGAAGTTCCCAAGCCCTGCGCAACAAATCACCACCAAAAAGCACGAAAGAGACACTGCACGTCTGCGTCGACCCATACCCAAATGCTGTGCTTGCTCAGGCGCAGTTAAATTTTACTGATAGTGTCACCCTGGCAGCCTTCTGAGGCTCCGAACAACTCACTCCTTCTTCAATCCCGCGCATCTACACCTCAGGCATCTGGGCCTAGGTTGTGCTGAGGAGCTCTGCTTCGGAGCTGGGGGAGGGTCTGAGTTCAGGTCCAAGAGGCGAGGAAAGCCCTCCTTGTTTCGAGTCCGGCGGTCCAGCGCGATCCATCCCTGGGGGCTTTCGTTCTTGGTGAGCCAGAGGCAGCTGCAATGGGATCTTTCCATGGCGCCGCCGCGAGGCGAAGGTGGAGAGACATCCCAGTCTCCAGTCCCAGGCTTTAGGCCTTAGGGCTAATCCGGCAACCCTAAACACCAGTGTGATTTGTCACCCACTTTTGTGTACACGTACACCTTGGTTGCTTGTTACGTCTCATGCCAACTTTGTCTCACTCGCAGCTTGACTGCTCAAGAAGTGCCTCGCAACGTCCAGCAAAAGGCCGCTAGTACGTAGGGTCGCTCTAGCCTTGTCTCTTAGCTGTGCACTTAACCTCACGGTGCTAAAATTCCGATTGGAAAACAGGCTCTACCCTGTTTCTTCGGTTGCCTTGCTTGCTTGGTATACGATTGGTTACGCCCTACTTTGTGAGCGAGAGTTAAGTGGAGTCCTCTGCTTTTCACACCCAGCAGCCCCAGACCGGACTTGATTAATCTCCCTTTCATTACACACCCCCTAATAATCAACCACATTGGGGCGAATCCTCCTGAAATCATCCCTGCCCTTTAACACCTATTCTGAATTAGGGTGAGTTTCTCAGGGCTCGACAAGATCCTTGAAGAACAGAAGGCCCTGACCCTAAACCCTAAACCCCTAGACCCAAACCCCCCCCTCAACCCTCCATTTCCTCACTCGTTCAGTTTTTGTTAATCATTGCTATTCCTATTACGATCGTTATTGTTACTATTGCAACTAATTGCTCAACTATGGCAAGAGAGATAACAATACCCTCTGATTATAGAAACGCTTTATTAAAGGGGGGAGGTCACCCTCCCCGTTTTAAATTCGGGGGAATGGATTAGTTGCAGCTAAAGCCTTCGGCAGAGACTCACATCTCGCTTTAAGTTTCAACGGCAATCGTCATTTGGCACAGGACAGAGCGACAGCTTGTTGATGAGAACGCGAGGCTGTGCTTTGGCTGTATTTAAGGAAGCTTCAGCTTTCCCAAGTAACATCGGCGACCATCATCCAAAAGCTTCCGAGATCACGGTGATGTAGAAATTCTATGAAGATGAACTGGTGAACCAGATACTCTGGAGCTGACTTCCACTGTTTTAGCGGAGACCCCTGTGAGTTTCGCGTGTGCCCGAGGGAACAGCGATGGTGTCGGATTCCACACCGGCTGCTCAATTGAATTGCACAGCGAAAGGGGTTTGGCTTTGCTAATGACTATTGCGGTTGCAGGTTTGTGTCTCGTGGACTATCGGCTGCACAGTTCAAGCTCCTATTCCGAGCCGCAGCGCACGCAGAATGCCTGACCAGTTCGCCCCCCTCCCTAAACCCTAAAAGAAACAGGGTTATTCAGCAGGCTGGAGAATGCGACTCAGGCTTGGGTAGATTTGTCAGGCCTGCTCCTGCAGAAACAAGGTGTAGCGACAGGACACAAGATTTTATCCAAGTGGCTGTAGGGCGTATTGATCTGTTTCACTCGTGAGGGCGCATTGGTTGCCTGGAGGCTGTCCTAGATTTACCCGACTGTATCCATGACCGTCCAGGATGCTTCTTCCCCAGAGGCCTGCGCTCAACACTTACATAGGGCAAGTTTCCCACGGCCCGAAAGCCCCGGTCGTACACAGCCAACTTGCTCGGAGTCCAGGGCTTTCTGCCCTGCCTTTGGCGCATAACCGCCATAGCCTACCAGGAGCTCGACCCTGAAATCCATGAGAAGCTTCAGGTTGGGATCGCGGCCTACAGAAGTCTGCCCTCACCGAGCTGAAACACCGTACTGTGGCTGAGGAGATTATAGCTTTATAGTTTATAGTTGAATGCTAGTTATAGGCTAGCCCTGAATCTGATAGCTTATAGGCTTACAGGGTTAAGCGCGTCACCAGGATCTTTGTGTGGCAGGTGTTCCGGATGTAAATGGCTGTTCTTGAGATAGGTCGAAGCACGGTTCCTGTGGTGAAGCATGCGCAGGTTGTAGATTGTAGAACTCCACCCGAGACTCTAGTCGGTGTTCTGATGCTGGAGTTGGCCAAGGGGTTCAGGTGCACCGGGGGTCGCAGCATCCAAGGGAAGATCGGCTGCGTGGTAAAGATCGCTAGGCTCAGGCTTGGGATTGAGGAAGTATGTTCACAGGGCATGGGCAATTACACACATCATCGATGTATGCTCCGCCAATGGTCGGCCATGTATCCGTGTGTATATATATATACACACACAGCTATACACGTGTGAACAGTTAGATAAGTAATTGCATAAATCGAAGCAGATAGAAGATAGTGGGAATAAGAATGATAACGAGTAACAAATGACAAAAAACAAAGTTACATAAATAAATAGATAGATTCTTAGATAAATAAGTGTATATATATATATATACGAATATATACATATACATATACAGATATATACATACATACATATGTATATATGAATATAAGTATAAATATTTTGAATGTGGTTGAATTTCAAATTTAGTCAGGATTAAATTCGAATGTCAGCCCTGGTTCATCCTGTAGCCGGCTGCCCGCAATGAGGGATTAACGACCCAAAGGAGGATTAATTTCGAATTTAAGCCTCTCTGGAAAGGCCCCTTGCCCCAAACATCGAGTTAAATTCGAATTTTAGCCGCCAGGCTGGCCTGACCCGGCCCCCGCTTCAGAATGGATTAAATTGAATTTAATCCTGTTTAGAGTTTGAAAATCATCCTCATCCTGTTAAATAAATAAATATATATATACACACACACATATATATATATGTGTGTGTGTGTGTGTGTCTCTACAATATATATATATGTATATATGTATATATAAGAAAGTAAGTCATTCTCGGTCCTTCTCCCAGCTTTAGCTCAGCCTTTCAGACGCAGCACCATCTCCCTCCGGTCCCAGGTCACAACGGATTTGCGCGGAATCCGGTGTTTGTCCCAGCAAGTGCTCGCACATGTCTCTGCATAGTCGGGTTCGCAGGATGGTCCTTTGACGACATACTATTGTAGAGGGTGATTTCCAGACTGTTGCTTGTAGATCGGTAGAACTTTAGCTTCAGAACATTTCATGCTCTGAGCATGGTCACTTGCAGTGATCCGATGCATCCGCCTGCTTCGGTGCCAGAACCGGATTTTCAGCAGTCAATGTTAAAACGCATCGTTAGGGCTGCAAAAGGCCGGGGCTTCGAGGGGAAAACGCCGAGGCAGATGACTTCGGCGAGTACTACTGCCCAAACCCGCTCTTCGCGTCAGTCGTACACTCAGCATGCCAAGCCCCAGACTCGCTTCTGGGAATGCCTGGCCTGAATCGTTCTGTGGTCTTCACGTGTAGGCGCTACAGTGACGATGGCAGCACATCGTATCACAGCTGTTGTGATGGTGATGGGGCATCTTGCATCGTGCAATGCACAGGATTTGGACTGTACTACGACTGTACGATTTGGCAAGCCCTGACTTCAGTCGCACATGAGAGATACAGGAGAAATTGCTTTCTCAATGCATGGCTCAACACATCTAGCGCCCAGCACACGGTGCTTATGAAATGATGAGAATAAAGACTCCTGCAGCTCGAGTTCTGTGTATCACCCCTTCCATTCATTCCAGAGGGAGAGGCAAAGGATGTCGCCGGCCTAGACTAGGGCATTGTCTGCATTACTTGGCTTTCTGAGCGAGGCCGTTGCGGCATCCACTTCCTTCTTCTTTGGCAATGGGTCGCAATAACAGGCACGCTGCTTGGGTAGAAAGTTGAAAGGTTCGTCTTCCGTGATCTTTGGAGCATTTGACATTTCGCATTGAGGTTGTTGTGCGGGTATTTCAGGTTGGTTAAGGCTCTCCGGCTGGCGTTCGCATTCACGGTTTGCTTGGCGATGACATCATAGCCTCAGATGGATGTGGCACAGCATACTGCATCTTAAGAGAAGAAGACACGTCTCAGACACTATAACAACGACGATATTCCTTGTGTGACCCCCAACGTAAGCAGTCTGGCCTCCTTTGTGACGAGTGCAACTTGCTGAAGCAGCCTGTGTCCCCAAAGAATTCCAATCCTTCCTAGTTTCAGTGAAGCATAGGCCGACGGTCTCGATACAGAGCCCCGAAACTATGCTTTCTGTGGTAAATAGCCTTCGCCTTGTGCCAGTCGCAGGACATGGGCATTTCTTGAAAGTGCTTCGGCGCGCGTCCCGAGTCCACTCTCTCAATTGGACGTCTGCTCCGCTGTCGGTTTTAGGGCATAGGTGGGCAGGCTGAAGATGCTCAAGAGCAGGACGCAAGCTCTGGTAAGTCTTGAAGGGGTGCACCGGCGGTTTAGAAAAGCTGCATGCCGTCAGGAAAGCTCCGCATGTCGCGCGTAGTCAGAGCAGAAGCATGCAGAGCTTCAGCCTTGTGCCATGACTTGAAACTGCTCTATGCCCTATGCTGTGTTT